CCATTTTTGAGAGTGAAAAATGCCGGTCATGCCCAGCAGCCTGGTCTTTTGTTCGGAGTACGGTCTTTTGTTACAGGGCCCTGTTTCCTTTGTCCGAGTTCGGAGACCCCGGCCACACATATAAACCATACGGCTCCGATCCCGGAGTCCCCGGCCGGTAGTGGTTAAAGAAGTTTGCATTTCACAGATGAAATAGACTAGCTTGATCTGAGAGGTGCCCATCTTATTTAAGAGCTTTACGGCACCTGTTTCTTTCCAGAATTGCTTGGTTCCTGTAGTCAACCAGCTTTCCAAACTGTCAGGCGTGTCCTAAAATCGACTCTTGGACTATAAGAACAGCTACATGTACTGTACTATACGAAGTTGATTCTTCCCCCCTCCCAAAAAAAGACAAAAAGTGGAGTTGGAGGCCACTGTTTAGATTTCAATATTTGGAATCCATTCTGTTCCATTCCGGAAAACAGTCACCCAAATCCCAGATGCTGGCTTGCCAAGACCTCGGTCAGGCTTAGCTCAGCAGGGTGTGGTCCTGAAAGACGTCCTGACGTTGTTGTTTGACTTTGTGCTGCCACCGCTTCTGGGCTGATCCGACACGACCCAGGCGACGACGGAGGTACGACGACTCATGCAACCCATTGGAAGAATCCTGATGCTGTGAGGACAAACAACAGAAATTACACACAAAGCAATGGCAAAGAGATGTTACAATAAACTACAATACGTGTATTCAAATTATTATAATTCATCTCCGTTTTCTTCCACATTCAAAAGGAGATTTTTAAAAGGGACAACCAAAATAAATTACTTCTAGTTTGTCAATACCAGTATCATCACCAGTTCGCTGTCAAAGTCCATACCCCTTTCTGACTACGGTTTACATCGGTAAAGGGCAAATCATCACAGTTATTTTCTTTATGGGCACAAGGAATCCTCCAATAATCTCCTCCACAACAAACACTCCACTCACAAGTATTTCCTGAGTTTGTCGTCTGCGATCACTTTCACTACGCTTGAGCATGCCCGGGTCCATGATCAGCAGCGCAATGAGATACACCAACAAGATGGCGATCAAAACGAGTACAAATATGACCACAATCTGTTGGAGAAAACGTGACCAAGCAGAGAGGTGAATATCAGTCTTGAAGAGAAGGCTTCATGTTTACCGCAGATTGTCCATTTATTTGAAAGCCAACCATCAAAAACAAAACCAACATTAGAGTTGCAAAGCAAAAAAGATCTTTTAAACCTACGGTGTTTGCATAATTCCTTGAAGGCCTTACCTTTGAGGCAAAGTAGTAACTTCAAAACAAGGGTTTTTAAATAAAGGTTACTGTTAAACCAAGAAAACAGCCATACTAAGGTTGCCTTCCTTTATGTACATTATGTTCCATTATACATGTATTCGTGTCCCCTCTCCCTATCAAACTTGATGTCAGCAAAGGACATATTCCTGACACCAAAAACAAAGTAAAGTGGAATCTGGAGGGTAAAGGTTGCAAGAAGGATACCTCCCTCAAAAAAAGAGCCTCTGACACTAGGCACAGGCCTCCAACTCAATCCTCATTTCATACCTTGATCACTGTGGTAGACCGGACTTCGTATCGACACTCACAGCGGAGGCATTCCAGCTCGCTCCTACCTGTAATATGCTCACAAAAGCTTTGGAAAAGAACAAAAAACACCAAACTTCATGCAAGTACAAAGTCAATAAAATTCTGACATTTCTTTAATCTAGTTGCTAGAAATATTTCCAGTAATTGAATGGTTCTTGCGGCTGGAATGCTGAATTGACAGACTGATCTTTGTGGGCTTCTCTGTGCTGGGAGTTGCCTGCAGAGTATGCACAATCTAAACATGTACAAAACCATGGAGTCTTTGGAAGGGAACCACGTACGAGGCGCCGATGGCATTGACCAAGTCTCTCTCTTTTGTTGTGCTTAAGCATGTTGCTCCCATGTGAACAGCAGAGGTAGGACCCACGAGTAAGCAATCGTGTATTCTCTCAATCAGATGGGAGTATACTCATGCATCACATGGTAATATCAAGATGACAGAAAGGTAACAGTAATCCAACAATAAAACGTAACCAACCAGCACTTCCAAGTATCAAAAGTAACAGGTAAGCACAGCCTCTTATCCAATATAGACCTCCTGGGGTATGGCTGTGCCTACATACATTCAGCACGTTCCCATGTTCATGTATCTACAGTCCAAGTCCTAAGACGAAGCTCCAGGTACAAGATTTGTGTGTTGCCTTGAGACACAGGTTTTACATGAAGTACCACAGCGTTCTTGAAAAAAAAAACAGCCAGTTGGTTGGCTTACCACTCATAGGCAGGCACGCTGACCACGGTCACGTTGACTTTGTGCTTGGTCTTGGGATCTCCAGGACAGACGCACTTGCATCGACAGTCCTCAAACTGTGCCTGAGGCATGACAGAAGCAAATGTGCGATATTTAAGCTGGGCAAGGGTAGGAACAGGTGAACAGCAGTGCAATTCAGTATCTTTTTCAATCGCAAGAAAAAGAAAAATTTTTGGTTTGCTTCATTTCCCTTCCTTCAAGAGAGTTCTCAGTAGCATTACACATGCCTTTGTTGTGAATTTAAAAGTTTTTTGTGAATGCTCAAAGATTGTGAAAATTCTGCACCACAGCAAAACTTGCGCAACGTTGTGACTCGGTGATTGTATACTGCAAAGTGTAATAGCCCTAACAGTCCCAAATCCTCCGATTTCAATATGATTTTACATACACCCTAAGGGGTTAGGGTTAAGGCATGCAAGCAAAAACTGGCCAGTGAAATGTATGTGCTCTGAAAGCCGCTGCACATGCTGAAACTTGCACACAGTGTCCAATAATGCACTCAAAAGGCTCATTCGGTCCATCTGCCTGATTGGTCATTCAACGTGCTATCAGTGGATCTTGCAGCACCATCAGTCAATCTTTTGGCCATCACAACAGCTGATCACCTTTTCTAACTAATGGTACAGGATAAATACTAAAAATGAGGGAAATAAAGTCTAAGATTTCCCTAGGAAAGATGAACATTATCTAAATACTCTGTTGCACCTCAGAGGGACGGATCAATACTCCCACACATAGTTCCATTTAACTAGTGTTAGGTAAGTGGGAGTATATTCGACCATAGGAGAATTCAACTGCTTGCTATTTAGCACAAATCTTGGTTTAAGTCTAGATCTCACTTGCACAGTTACCCCGGGCCATGCTGGTTTTACTTTATTCTGGTTGAATACTCCAACTAACGAAGCCTATCTGCTGACATGTAAGTGTGGGTATATTCAACAAGACGCAGATTTTGATGGTTACTGAGCAAAAACCTTGCGTCTGACATGTCTGACTGGGGGTTAATGGATGAAACACATACTCGTGGTTAGCAATGATGCTATGCAGCAGTCAGGGGCCAATTTCGTAGAGCTGCTTAAGCACAAAATTTGCTTAAGCGGTAAAAAATCTTTGCTTAATAAACAAAGGTTACCAGCTCAAATTATATCTGATTGTCATGCTAACCAACAACAGTTAACTATGATATCAAAACACTATACATCACATGGAATTTTGGCTGGTTACCTGATTTACCAAGTAAGGTTTTTTCACGCTTAAGCAAATTTTGTGCTTACATGTAAGCAGCTCTATGAAATTGGCCCCCGTCACTTACAGCAGGCAGTGACTGTTTTCCATAATCGGTCCAATACTCCCCCTTTTACCCTTGCAACAAATAGTTCCACATACAGAAGCCAGTAATTAGGCCTATCCTCCACAGTGACCTATTACCGTCAGAAAGCAAAATTATGTCCAGAAAAGTTCAATTTAGGAAGGAAAAAAACCAAGCCGCTTACTTCAGACCAGTTCCACTTTAGACCAGTTCCACAAGGTTTGCGCACAGAGTGTCAAGTGGCGTCCGTATATGGAACTCTTTCTAGTAATCATGGTAATCCATACTATTACTAGTGAGTGCAGGTCTTACCCCCAGAAGTGCGGGGTCCGACCCCACACTTCTGGGGGTATGCAGGCCTGCTACGAAGTGCTAGTGCTGAGCAGTAAAGCTAAGTGAAATCCCACTCTAACACCATGAACCATCCTTGCTCAGGTTGTCACTGACTAGTACTAGTAAAAATATATCCTGACGTTAGGAAAATGACAAACCTTGGTCACACCGAAGCACACGATGCCAATTAGGAGTACAAATGTAAAAGTATTGAAAGACATATCAAAATGGAAGGTATCACTCCTCGAAATTCGATGTAAAAATTGAAATCTTTCTGTCGCACAATTCACGGACACAGCTGCAGCATCGTGTTTTGATCACGAGAACGGTGAGTGCAGTGTAAAACGATTCCTGAATCTTTCCGGGTTAGCGCGCCCTCTTTACTTTCACTGCACGATATTCATGAATACCGCCCTCTGGTGAAGTTCAAACGCTCAATTTTTCAGCATGGCGACGTTGAGGCAGATTCCGCTGAGCTGCAGTGGACATACGAGGCCCGTTGTTCACCTAGATTTCAGCGGAATCACACCCGATGGGTATTTCCTCATCAGTGCTTGCAAAGGTTGGTAGAAATGATTTGACGTATTTCGAATTTTAGCCTGTCCAGTTCAGTTTGACCATAGAGACACCATTTTAATTACAATTTCCTACTTAATAAATTAACATCTCCCTCGCTCATTTATGCGGGTCCCTAACAAACCTAATGTCTGAGGTAGGTCCCTATTATAAAAATGGTGGTCGCAGCTAGTTGATCTTTACGTGATCTATCGATCTTGCACCTGCATGTGCACTGACCTAGCCATGGCCATGAACTTCCATATACGGACGCCACTTGACACCCTGTGCACAGACCCTATGAGACTGGTCTTAAAAATTTGAAATACAAGTAAACAACTTGGTTTTTTCCCTTCTAAATTAAATTTTTCAGGATTATATTTTTGCTTTCTGACGGCTAATAGATCACTGTAGGGAATAATTACTGGTGTTGTGGAACTCTTCCCGCTGGATTTTTCCTAGTTCCAGATCGCTTGAAATAAAAACCTACCTCCTTTGTGTTACTTTTTCAGTTACACATTCTCAGACTACTTCCAGATCTGTAAGATTTATACAACATAAATAGTGTATATTCGACTTGGTGCTACTTTGATTTGCATGGAATTTCTATGCTGTTACATCAATTTTCCCCCAATAATTTCATGAGGTCTTCCGGGATAGAGTTTGTTATGGGATGTGGGGGTGCATTTACATTATAAATGTAAATGCGTATAATGTGTAATCCAACGGAACGACCTGGCTACGTGACGTATGAAATAAGAGACGTGCTGTAGTTAGTGAAATTTTCTTTCATTCGAGAGAGGAAACTGAATAGAAATAGACTGGAGCCACGTTGTAATTGATAAAGCTGCCACACTGCTGACAACAGTGACCTTTCAACTGACATGACCGGGTGAGCTAAGCAGGCAGTCGTGGACACGAGTGTGGATAAGGAAAATTCTTGTAAATTTCACCATTTTAATGGTAGAATGTAAATGAACCCCCCTCCCATCTCATACCATACAGTATCCCGGGAGACCTCATGAAATTATAGGGGGAAAATCAGTGTAACGGCACAAAAATTCCATGCAAACCGAAGTAGCACCATGTCGGTTATGCACTATTTACATTGCTGTCTGTAAGGTTTGTTTAAACCTTACAGTTCTGGAAGTATTCTCAGATAAGTTCTGTTTAAAAGGTGAAATGCAAGCTCTTGTACAAAACTTGTTCTCGGAAAATTTCTAGAAAAGAAATTTTGGCCAGATGTCTGACTCACACTTCAACATGTTTGAACGGTTTATCAATTAAAGTGGAAGCGATAAGAATTGACCAATATTTACAGAGTGATATGTCACTCACCATGTGATCCCAAATACATATTTTCCTACTCAACATTCATATTTTGTAGCTGCAATCTGACTGAATAATTTTCACAGATCTGGAACTGGCAAAACTGCTGTATTTCGTGTAGACATCTCAACAATCGAGTTGTCCTAACAGACGACTTGGCAAACGGCAAAAATTTCTTCATCAATTTCATTTGCAAATTGTGTGATTTGTATGTGGGTTTTCCAGAAAAGTATCTAGAATGGAAATCTCTGATACTACCGGTATCAAAATCTCATGAGAACAGAATGATGTCATCGTCGCTCGATCAAGGGACAGCGCAGTGTTGCTACATGTAGATCAAGCCTTGGTCCCCAACCTGGTCAAGTGTTGACTGTATGTGGAATTCCTTCCCTGTGGTGTAGTTCCCTAGTTAAAAGCCTGGGTTTAAAGGCAGTGTTGCTGTAACCAAGCACTGACAATGACTGAGCCCTCTAACCAGGCCCTTCGTATGCTCCTTTGTCGATGCTGGGCCCTGATTTGGGATATACGAAACGCAGGCGACTTCCTGTCATTTGACATCCACCAGGTTTTACGAGCTGAAATTTCACCTTGGAGGATATTCACTACTTAGTCTGAGCAGGGCTGGAAATCGGGCTAATCATCACGGGAGCAAGTACTTGCTAGACAGCTGAATTTGTCACTTTATGGGAGCAAGTAGCTGCCATACAATATTAAAGACATATTTTCAAGAAAAAAAAGCAAAGACCTTGGATGGTTTAAATCAATGATACTGATAACTTACGGCTTAGACTTTGGCAGATATTAAAGCCTCGATCGAGTTGCTACTTTTGTGGGTTGCACGCGACGTACAACTAGTAGTGAGTATGCTGCCAACTGCAACCTCAAACATGTGCTTAGTGACACTACGCAAAAAGTCGGGCACCGGGCCTTTATAACATGCATATGAGCAGAGATGTAAAAGGGAACGAACTGTAGAAATCGAGCATTTTTGTGGATTAGGCTGAGACTTTGGTTTCGCAGCTGGTTCGAGCTATTTTGGAGCATGGTTCAAAACCACGTTTTCAAGCTTTGACTGGAACCAACGAAACTAAAGTCTAAGCCTAATTCACTTGTTTGGCTTGAATTTACCAACGAGGGGCCAGTTCCATACAATCGTGACACTGGCCGCGGGTATGCGTGTGTGTACGTTCATGTGTGTGCATGCATCGCATGCCGGACTGCGGCGTGCGCTCGGTGACCTCGTAAACAAAATTGTACCGTGTTATTGTTCCGTGACAAGGCTGGTCCGAAGTGAAGTCAAAAAGTTCAGGTATTTTTCATGACAAAAGTAGAAACAAACGGTAAAAATGTTCGGGTACATGGAATCAAACGGGCGTAAGTACTTGCGCCCATCATTATGATTTGCAGGTGCATTTCTGAGACAAACGGGTGCATTTTAGCTACCTCTGCTCATTAATTTCAAGCCCTACCTGAGACTATGTGCGGGTTGCCATTTGTTTGCAAAAATTTTTGCCACCACAGTGCATACATGAATTTTCGCGATCGACAAATTTTGACTTGCATTTGATCCCGACTCCTTTACGTACCAAGCAGTTGGAGCGCTAAGAAAGTGACAGTCTGGTCAATCAAATCATGTAACAAACGAATACTGATAGCTGTTTTGTGAGTGTGAGAAATCATGCTTAGGGGCTGTCTAATATTTGTTTGTTTATTTTGTCAGATGGCAAGCCAATGCTTCGGCAGGGAGAGACGGGTGACTGGGTGGGGACGTTTGATGGCCACAAGGGGGCTGTCTGGGGTGCAACACTGAACATGGAGGCCACCCGAGCAGCCACCGGAGCTGCAGATTTCACAGCGTAGGTTCCCCTCATCTTCAAAATTGCACAAATTGCAGTTAGGAGTTCTGCGCAGTAAAAAATATTGAACATGGTTGCCTCATATGGGTCTGACAATGAGAGTGACCAAACAGTGCAGGACACAAAACAACAGTGTTCAGAAACCTGACCAGTATTCAAAAGTTGCCGTACTGAGGCAACATGTTCTGGCAAATCAGTGGTTTTGTTATATATCATAGCTTTCTCCTCGTGCCTTCGAGTCTTCTCATGGGGTGCTGTTGTGGGAAGCCAGTAACATGATGCAGAATGAGGGGTTTCTGCCTTATGCCTTATGTCGATCTCCGTCAACAGTGATTGCCTCATTCAACTCTGTATATGGTCCCTAATCCTTACCCTTTCGGCGCTTTTGTGCGAATTTCCCTGAGCCGTCTTTAAATCCTCCGATGCGCAGGAACCCAATGACTCATTCTTTGTTCTTGGAACTTTTTGTGAGAGCTTCCCAGAATTTCAAGATGTACTTGTATTGCAAAGATGTGAAAGGTTTTTCCCTTACACCAATGTTAATTAAAAATTAATTTTCCAAACCTTCTTGAATCCTCTGATTCAGTAGGAACCCATGAACTCATTCTTTGTGCCTGGAACCTTTGTGAGAACTTCCCCAAACATGACTCACTCTTTGTTCTTGAACTTTTGTGAGAACTTCCCCGAACCTTCTTGATGGGCAGGAACCATTAACTCATTCTTTCATGGAAACTTTCAAGGAACACCAAGCCCCCTGTAAATTAATCATGGCTGTGCTGTATCTCTCCTATTCCTGCAAAACTTTCCCAAACTTCCTAGTACATTTGGAATAATTTGGAAAGTTATAGAGAGTTCAAAAAAGCACCAGTTTAGTTTTATTTCAGGACCTCAACTCCAAAGAGTAAGTTCTGCATCCACTGTTTTTCATTAATTCTAATTTCAATTTCGTAGTCACTTGCACCTTCTGGTTTATGTGACATTGATAATATTTATATCAACAAGGGTCTTTGTATTTATCTTTACTCGTCACTGTCTTCATTTTCACTGTTTTATTTGTCCTCTCCTTCAGCAAAGTGTGGGATCCCATTTCTGGGGATGAGCTACACAGCTTTGCCCACAAACACATCGTCAAGGCAGTCCACTTCTCAAAGGTACAGTAAACGCCTGCAAATGCTTTGAATTTTATCCTGCTGCCTTTTGTAGACAAAGCTCCAAGAGACAAAGCTCCAAAACAACTTGAAAGTTGTCTTGGAGCTTTTATGGCGAGAGGATAGAAGGGCATGCATATCAGCAGTACCAACCCAGTCTCATTTGGTCAGTTGTGCACATATTTTCCACAATGTACAATATACACAAATTTTGCTGGTGCAGTGCAGTGCGCCCTCTGTTGAGCACAACCAGTAAGGTGTATAAATGAGCTTCATTCCGTAAAACTACGGATTAAGCGTCACGGAAAGCAACCCTGTTCCAGATCAGTTTGCATGGCTCAGTGGTTTAGCAGCTCGCTTTATGAGCTGAAGATCAGTAATTCAAATCTCTGCCCAGACTATCTGTACCAGCAATCTTTTTAAACACTAAGTACATCATAGAGGGCACAATGCAATAGTGTAAGTGTATCACAATGTGGCAGTTGCAAAATGTACAGAACTAAAGGTAGAGACTGGGTTGAGCAGTGTTCATAGATACAAGTACCCCCTCGCTTGGTGACAGTTAGAGAGGCCAGGCCAATAATTGAGTGCCATTAGCACCCTGTGTCTGGCACCCACATGACTATGCTGTAGTGTAATTCAGCAACCAGAACTAGAGGCCATTACTGCGGCGGCACCATGCTCTTGGATGGGCGGTACATGCCTCTTTGCCTGGTAGAGTGTCATGATTTTCCAAATGCAGGCGCGGGTCCAGCTGTAGAATGTGCATGTTCGTACAGTGCCACCGCAGTTTATGGCATCTCTTTGGACCAGTCCAGACACAGTGAGACTCACTGGTTGAGTTCGGGCACCTTGTTCTCGTTTGTTCACGAACAGCTCAGTATGTTGTTCGGGGGTCAGCTGCTCGAATGCCGAGAACATAACACTGGTTATGGCTGGTAGTAGTGGCAAGTAACATGCAACATGGTGGCGTCCATGCACGTTTTTCAAATGTTAACATTTGGATAACTGGGCTGAATTCATTCATTTCATTTCTGTGTTACGGAAAAATATTAATGTTAATTTTTGCAAAACTTCCCACTGTCTTTGGCTTTGTAAGCCATCATCCTGTTTTTGGCAGCTCTTCAAAAAAACAAAATCCCATAAGTATTTCTGTGTCTTCCTGTAAAACCCTGACAAGGAGGTGGTGTGTGATCCTGTTCTGAGAACAGTGTTCTTAGGTCATGTTCGAGCACGAGAATAAGACGTCCGTATTAAAAACAGTCCGCCGGAACTCGACCACTGATGTGCCCTCCATCCTAGATGCACTAACATCCTGGGCTTGTAGTGCTTTTCCCAGTGGAGATTGTTTGTACAGCCAATGTGTAACCACTTCACACTACCTGAAACCTGGGCTGCATTCAGTAGCACAATACAGGTTCCTGTGTGGTCCCCACATCCCTCTCTCCTTCACCATTGAAGGTGTGTGGCACTACTTTACAAAACTGGAATGTGGCCCTGGTCAAAGGA